TCGATCGAATCGATAGGAAAACAGCACACCCCTATCGACAACACAAATATTTTCAATGTTGATTTTACCATACAAACACTGGTCAATTTGTTCAAGTAAACGATAAGGGCGTGCCGATGGATTTTCAATTACCGGACACGACCAATTGGCTCGCGACCTATTTAGGCTTCCCTTGCCAAATTTTTCGCGAAAACGTAACCTCGAAAGCGTAAAACACACATTCTACCTGACCTTATTTGTCCCTTTTCTCGGGCTCGGGATGTTCGATTAGATTGGCAAGAAGAAAGTAGAAAAGAAGAAAAAACAAGGAGTGAAGTTTTCTTTAGAAAAAAATGGTAAACAGAGTGAGAAGCTTTGCAGAAAATCAAAGTGACGGCATGAAAAGCATAATTGCACCGTTGCTCGCAGCCTTTATATAAATAATTTTTTATTTGCCACTAAAATTACGGCGTAAAGAAGAAATAGACATAACAGAAACGTTTTGTACGAATATTTACCGTACGTTCTTCTCTTTCCTTTTCTCTAATCTGCAGGAGAGAATCGTTCGAGCGAAATTCGTTCGTTCACTGGGCCAAAATTGTCGCGCGAACTATGCCAAAACGCGTTAAAACAATTCCAAGTGCAAATGATTTTGCAGGAAATTCTAGCAGATTGTTCAACCTAAACGTTCTCGATTGGCAAAAACAAAAACGACAGAAAGTCGGGTACTTGGTGTCGCGGGTAAACGAATTAAAAAAATTGTTTCGACTAGCATCCACTTGTACGAGATATTTCTGTTATGTGAATTTTTCGTGAATGTCTAATTTCAACGGTAAATAAGAAATAATTTATATAAAATCTGTCGCTCTTGTAGGTTCAGTTACGCTCGTCGCTGCATCTCGAAGAAAAGTCAGGAAGCTGCAGAATTGCGTCGCGCCAACTCGTTCCGGTGAACTTCAAATAATGCAGTTTCCATGCAGTTCGAGTTCGTATCGCGTTCGTTTTGTTAGCAACGCGACTCTTCACCCTCTCTACTCGTCACCGATTTCATATTCGTTTTCTACGTACTTTGCTCTTCAATTTTCGTCGCGCAGTTCGTTACTTCCTTTCCAACTGGTATCTATCTAAGTTACGAGTCTGAAAATTTCTTCCTCTTTCTCTCTCCCTCTCTCTCTCTCTCTTTCTATCATCTTCTCTATCTTATTTATTCTACCACGAGAACACGAAGAAGACGTGTACTTAGCACGAAACAAGCAATCAACGTTTCTCTTTTGTCGCTGCAATTGAAAAATGTTGCGCCAACGTAGCGGGGAGAAGTAAAGGGAAGCGATACACGCGGCTTGTTTTCTCCACCGATTCTCCAGACTCGTCGCCATTCTCTTTTCATCTTGCATCTCGCACTTTTGCGAGAAAGCGTGCTTTCTTTACATTCGCCGGCTGAACAAATGATGCCGGTGCTCGAGGGCGCCGTGGCAACTTCCCCGTTCCCTCCAATGCACAGAGAAACCGTCCTTTTGTCACGCCAGACTTTCTTTCAGAGGGTAAAACGTTGTCTTCCTGATAGGCACTTTACCGAGCCTGGCGTGGAAATCTGTTTCACGCCTGTACCGTGATACCGCTACATCGATCAATTACCGATCCCTTTGTCGCTTTTCAGATTCTAGAAACGGAAATCGTAGAGCGCAAGATGGAAATCGGAAAACGAAGATCGTCGACACGCGATACGTAATATTAGGTGGGTGCAAAAATTCTGTCGGTTCTTGCGTTCTTTCTTGGTACAGTTCGCGTTTCTTTTTCTTTTTTTTAGATAAATTATAAGTCGTTTGAAGGAAGACTATTCATTTTATTATTTGTTTAATTCTGGCCTTTCGAATGGCTTCCGGTTGCAAACCTTGCAACGATAGTCAGCGTCTTTACGATACTTATTCCTATCAGAATGGAGACTAGTTTCGCGTAATAGTTACGAATATCGTATTTTAACAGCAGATAAAAAATGACGGTCTCTTTATTCATTTTACGCTACTAACCCGAAAAAGTTTTAAACTAATGGTTTTCCATAATTATACCCGTTGACATACGCAAAAATACGCGATCCATTCAGAGTTTCTGTTCTTCTATTTAAAAAACGTGCGGATGAATGGAATTTCATATAATGTATTTTCACGTCTACGAGTATCTTCGTGGACTCTAGGAACCAAGAATTCTTCGCGAGAGATATCAGTGAGTTGAGATAAACGAGGAGGAGTGATAAAATTAAATGGACACGACGTGATAGAAATATGGAGTATAAACGAGATCGTTGAAAGCGTTTATAACATTATTCTCATTACGTAAAACCGACGGAACTTTTGCAATCAACTAATACCGACAAGCTGATTCACACTGCACGTGTCTACTTTGCATATGTATTTGCACTTAAAATCCAGCGACGTTGAAACGTGCCCATCTTGATCGGTGGCACACTTTAACCACGAGATTTGGCACAACCGACGTAGTTTCTCACGAGATACGAAACGCAAGCGTTTCAGTAGATCAGTGCCAAATGAGCAATCTCGACGAATGCTTAATTAATATCGCCAACCGAGTCACATCGAAGTCACGCGTTCGCCGACATTTGCACCGGCAATTACGAAAGCGACCCGAGACAAGAATGTAAAAAATGCGAGTTTGTCGCCTATTTTGCGTCGTTGAACAGGATTCAGCTAACGCGTCAAACGCAAAACGCGATACACCGAGTGAAATAAAGAAATATATGACTCGGACCATTTTCATGATCATCGGTGCAATCATCGGGCGCAAAAGCGAGTCGATAATCGAAGCATTGGAGACGTAATTGTCAAGTACCACTGCTAAGAGAAACGTTTCGAAAACATCGTACTTGCGTTATGTAAATGTAAATTTTTCCATATAGAAACGCTCACCGACTGTATCTGTTTGCTAAAAGTTAACAATCGATTTATTGTTATACTTTGTATTGTTATCGATTGTTATTAGAATTTTTGTTCGTTGTAATTTAAGTATTGAAAAACACCGGATCACGTGGTCGACATAGAGAATAGAGGGTGAAGAACGCTTGAAACGGAAACGAGGCATATCGCGAAACTACTATAATTATTCCAAATGAGTTTGCTTACGCGTAATAGCTGCGAACTACTAGCTGGCGGTTTATCGCGGCATCGCAACGATCTCTTGATATTTCGCTCAATTCGATAGAAGCTTTTCTCTGCAAAGCTCGTTCAAGCGGAAGGTTTTTGTTGTAGGAACGAGTGGCCGAATTCGGCGGATCCGTCTGACCACGTCCTTTTCTACTTACACGTTGCGGGCTGTGACATTATGACACCAACGGTCGTCGCCTTTTCCAAAGTGAAAATTTCCGTTCCTCTTCACCTTTTAATCAACAGGAATATCGCGAATATTCTACCATCGATATATTGAGAATTTTGTATCAGGAAATCTCGCGGTATTTTTGACGACTGATGTATCGCGTAGAAAACTTTCATGAAATTCCTGCGCTATTTTCATTCGAAATCACTCAATTTTCAAATAAAATTTTGTTCTTTTAACGCTTCAAGGCTATCGGTTCGCCAAGTTACACAACGTGCCCTGTTTCTTCTTCGATATCTTATTTCTTGAATCGAACGGACAAAGATTCAAGAATTTGTGAAATTTCTTTCGATCTATTCAAGTTACACGAAGGAAAACGATTTAAATGGCATTGCGTTTTCGTGCAAACGACGTCTATTGCGTACTTGCGCTTGTTCTCGTAGCATTCGTAGCACGAGAGCATTATAATTGTAGGAAATAGACGCGTTAAGCTATTTCGAGTGACGACATGGTCGTTTCGCTATAGAGGCGGAGGGACCATTCTTTAGATCGATAATTAATTTGCCAAGAGGTAAGTAAATTTACATTCGAATAAATCTGCGCCGTGTAACACCGGTTCGTATCTCGGATTCGTACGAAGCGTGACGTAAATACCTCGTGACGTTTGAAACCACTAGATCTTTTTATTACGTTGATAGCGTTGCTTAATTTACGTGCTCGTCTCGTTCAAACGAAAAGAAATTAATTAAAAAACTCGTTAACGCAGCTCGAAGGACGCCGTAAATGTAATACAAAGAAATTCATATGGATCTCTTTTACCAATCCAAAATATTTCGTTCGGTGAGATCGACAAAAGGAAAAGAAAAGAAAAAAAGAAAAGAAAGAAATAATTCGGTTAGAAGAAAAAAAAAATGTCAAGAATGTTCAGATTCGGTCGCGATAAAAATGCTAGAAAGTCTAGTCGAGATGATTTCAATCCGAAGAAGAATTCCAATCGCCTTAGCCGAGAGACTACAAATTTATTACTGACTCGAATTGGATTTCCAACGGAGTAGCTGTTCGGCGCGGCGTGGTAAACAGCTGTTGGCAGCGAGAGCCTTGCAGCTAGTGATAGAGGGCCGACATTGGTCAGACGGGTCGGCCGATTCGGCCAGTTTGTCGTTTCGACATCAAAAGAAACCGATTATTACTTTCTTGCCATTGCGATTTCATTCGTGCTCTCCATTCACCTTTCCTTTTCATTGTATTCCCCTTTATCCCCGTACATTCTTTTCATCTGCCCGTCTCGTATCCTTTTACACGCCACTCTAACGTATTCATCGACAAGCGCGAGACTCTTTCTCTCCACTTTCACAGCGATCCTGGCATGCGTACCGCGATTCCTTCGCTAAACCGCGAAAAACGCGCAATCTCGCGCAGCACGTAAATGCATACGACAAGCACGCAACGTGCGAACTGACGATAGGAAGGAAAGGAGGACACGGTGGAACGTGAAACGTGAATATGAAAAAGTAGGGGGAAGAAGAGGGGAACGAGGACGAAGTGAAATCAAAGTAAAACGAAATAAGATAACCGAGTTCCACTTTCATTCGTTCTCGCGTTTCCTCTCGTTCTTTGTTCTTAGTCTTTTCTTTTTTCATTTTTCCTTTTCCTTATGCCGATTTAGCGTGATCAGATCGATTTCTAATATAGAGTACCCTTTCGACGAGGGGTGAGCAGTGAGCTGTGGTTGTGTGGTGCTGTATGGTGGTAGCGGTGCCGGTGGTGTTCGAGGTGCTCTGGATGATCAGGGTCATTGGGTACGAGGTAGTCAGGGGTGTAGTCGTCTTGACGGGTGTGGGGCGGGGGCCTCAGTGTACCTTGGACCGGGGGCAGAAGCCGCTTGTCGTAACGGGTCGACAGCAGCAGGTTGTCCAGTATCTCCTTGTCCGACTTGCCCTCCTCGAAACTGCAACACAACGTATTGTAGCTAGCCCCGAAACCACCGGATCCACGACGGAATTTTTCCTTTCCTTTTCTTTCTCTTTCCTTTCCTTTCTCCTTTCTCCTTTCCTTTCCTCTTTCCTTTCCTTTCCATTCCTTTCCTCGGTTTTCACCCCCGATCATCGAGTGTTCTCTCTCTCTAGCCACCCCGAAGGTCGATCCGCAGATTAACCCGCAGTTCGCTTTGTCGCGAGCCTCGACCTTGACCTTCGAGGTGTCCAAGAAGATCGGTTTTCCTGAGAATGCGCTTGTCGCACGCGATCTGTACGAAACGCGCGTCGTTCTCTTTCGAGTGAATTCGTTATGGCTACACATATTAAAAGAGAAACTCACACGATCTACCAATTATTCGACGAATATTACGCAGAGCTCTCTAAAACGCACTATATAATACGTGTATATATATATATATATACATATGTATATAATATATATATATGTATATGTATAATGTAAAAACAGCTTCTACCTTCGAGCGTCATCGAATTAGTCTGGAAATTCGCTAATTTAACGATCTGTTGCTTCGATCGTTGACTACATCGCGATCACTAGGATCCAAACTTGTCTACACTTGGCTAAACGTGTACGATGCAATCGAACGATTTTTGGGACGCTGGTCGAGCGAAAGAAGATTCGCGATTACCTGGCCGCTTTCGTCTCTCTCAAAGTTCAGCCCGACTCTATTCCGATTTCAAGACTATCGGCGAGCGCTAGACGTTGAGAATCCGCGGCTGTAAATATTCTCCCGAGCCAACATCGGTGTCGCGCGATTAGAGAGATCCTGCGAGATCACTCGTCCGTTGCTATCAACGTCTCGGTTGCTCCGTAGCCATTCCGCATCGCCACGACCACGACGACGACAAGTTTATGGCCGGTAAAGTAAGTTGACGAGCGTAAAAGGGTAAATAGACAGCGAACAAGCCAACTCCCCACCCTTCGACCGGCGTCCCGGTTAATAACGAGACAAGTTTGCGCAATATTAAATGTAAAACAAGTATAAGAGCCTTTGAACAAGAAACGAGGCGACATTAACGACGATTCCCGATATTCCATGCAAAATAGATCTGTTTCGTCTAATGTGAAACATCGAGCGAGTCTAGATTCATCTTTCCATGTATTCTGTACCGCGTCGTCGCTACAATGTCGCTCTCTCGATCCTATCACAAGCAAACACAACAGTGTTCTACTCTAGTGTCCCTCTCTTAGCTTCTCGATGCGTTCGAATCGTTAAACTTTAGCAGCCTCCTGGCCGAGTAAAAAATCTCTTCAAACAGAGGAAGATAACGCGACCGTTATTCCGGTATCGTACTTTGGTATCGGGAAGTTAAGAGCAGATCGATGGCTGAAGAAGGTGTTAGTTATCGTGTATTCCATAATACGTACATGTCTTCGGCACGCACGAGAGTGACAAGAGTGAGGGCAAGTGTGAGGATACAGAGGATGGTGAAGATGAGGGAGCTTGCGAGGGAGGTGAGAGACAGCGAGAGGACGGACGAGAGGCGGCCGCCACCACCCGCACACCGCCCTAGCGCCACCCAACCCATTCTATGTCATCTGAAACAGAAAGCACATTTTCCATTATTATGTATTCCATCCGCAGTGCAAGAGAAACGAATGTCATCCGTTCGCAAAAGCGATACCAAGTCTGGAATATTTCTACGGCTCTGTGCTACCGTCGTTGCGAATGAACGCGCTTTTCCATGAAATATATTCCTTATAAATCAGATAATAAATAATTCAATTAGCTTGCCTCTGAGATATTCTCATACGAGAAATATCGTATTTTTCGATGTACTTTGGAAGCGTAGGATAAGTAGGACGACTGGATAACAGCGCGTTTGTTTCGCGCAAAATGCGAAACGCACGAGAAGATAAATCAATTTTATTCCAGTAGCGATGCACGGTGTTTGGAAACGACTGTCTGACAGGCAACGAGTCGTAATTTTCAATAATTCTCATTAATCTTTGTCGCTTAACACTAGAAATACCACACCGGTCAAAATGCCTGTCTCTGCAATTTTATAAATGTGTCAACCCTCCTAGATGGATTAATAATACCAAAAATCTACTACGTAACATGGAATTGCTTCTGTAAGAAAGTAATAAATCAATAAATATAAAGATATTCCATCATTACGTATTTTTCAAAGACCAGTCATTTTCACTGGTTTTGGAAAAAATAGCAACGTGTTAACTATCGGTAGATGAACACCATTTACAAATCAACGGTCTTCCTTCGTAGAAGAAATCGATGTTTAAGGTAGATTGTCTCGGGTGTTATAAATTCTGCAGGGAAAGTTCGTAATACCCAAGTTTTACAAAACGATACGAATTTTAATATACTCGCCTGTATAAAGCCTGTTATAAATCATTATGCGTTCAGTAAAATATTGGTAAAGTGTGCAAGTTAAAAAGCGAACAAGATGAAACAAAAATTTGATCAAAAGCAATCGAATGCAGGCGATAGATATTTCTTCTTTTTCCATTTGCTGGAAAAACTCGATGCAAAACCGTTTAAAAATGTTTCATTTACTGTACAGATCATCGCTATATACCACTTTACTCCGTTGCCGAGTGTATTAAAAGGCAGGTGCAGGATTACCTCTCAAAGACCTGTGGATACACTTTTGATCTACGACCTTTTACGCGATTCTCATACGAGTACACGGATTCACGGAGTATACCGACCCTGCCAGACGATCCCTTTTAACGGAATTCGACGGATAAGGCTGAACCTTCCAAACACGAGTTTCAAAGCTCGAATATATCGTGGCTACCGCCGTGAACTTGTTTCATCTCGCTTTTATACCGCCTTTGTTCCACTGGATTGTCTGCAAGCACGAAATCAACCGGTTATCGGTTGATATCGTATCGTATCAATATCGCCCTTTTTTGCCCCCTTCTTCTTATACTTAGAAGCATTACGTACGCTTGCGGTCTCGTACAGAACGTCGTAACTAATCTAAGAAACGATTCATACCGCTGTGTCTCTTTTCTCGTCATTTTTTCCCACTCGATCGTATTTTTCCAAGAGAAAATGATATTTTAGGTTTAGGTAAAATGCGAACATTTTCTTGTTCTCGTTTTTTTTAGCAATTAACTCTGCTGCGTTTGTATTTTTCCAAGGGGAAAAGATTTCCTTTAAGTTTAAGTCAAAATCTGGAGATTTTGTTCCTCTCTCGCTCGTGTGTTCGCAATTATTATATTCTGTCTAAAATTGGAAAGAATTATGCATGAATTACGTAATGATTTTTTAACCTCATACTTTATACGACGAGGGAAGCTTATAGAAATATATTTAACAATTTTATTTAAAAAAGCGATTCGAAAGTCCACAGTCCACATCAAGTACCAATATTTTATTAAAAGAACTTTAAGCGCGAATGTACAAAATCCTTATAATTAAGAAGTTATAATTATAAAGTTTCCAAGAAGGTTTAGTAATTCTGTGATGGTCTATCACGTTTTTCTGTAATTTTCTTAATACTCAAGTACGTATATTCGTACGCAATTGTGTCAACTGAATTACGGTGTTATTTAATTACATAATATAATTACGTAATTCAAACCTTTCCGTTAATTTATCTGCCAATTACATTACAATTACAATGTAACTGGATTACATCCTCGCCGAACAAGTGAGATAAATGTTATTACATTTATCTCCAGTGTCTTTACGGCGTATCTTCCGTTTCCCGTACATATCTGACTCGATCTTACGTTTATGTTTCTCACTTACGATCGTACCTTGTGATTATACTTTAATTACATTTACGAATTTCACTGCAAATTTAATTGAACGAGAATTTATCGAACTACCAACGAAGCACGGCGTAATTGAACACGATTGCGGATGAATTACCTCGTAATTTAATTGCAATTTTCCACCACTCTGTGTCCATACTCGTTTTCCCTTGCAGTTCACGTATTTTTTACTTTTCAACAAACGACCTGTTTTTAATCTGTTCGTGACACGCAACGATATTTCACTTTGAAACGTAAAATTTGCACAGATGCTCGCGGATTGCCGTGGTGCCAAGCTGCGACGCATTAAAGTCGTCGCAAAAGGTAAGTTGACCGTAGGGGATGGTCGTCTGAGTGAGTCGCGAGTCGATACTCGCGCGTCGTGCAGGCACTTTTCGAGTAGGTTGTTATGCAGGACCATTCCGAGTATCTTCGCGAGCGTGTCGAGGACCATTTTCACTCTTTCTGTCTGACCCTATAACTCGCAGCGGTCTTTTGCCGCGCCGTTCAGAGTTTCCTTCCGTCATACGACGCTCGTGTTTCTGCTTTTCTAGCAAACTATGCATGACAAAAGATCGCGAGTTTTCTAGTCGTTTTCGTCGCTCGTTTATTATGCTACACTGTGCGTGTGTGTGATATTACATTTTGCAAATATTTAGTTACGTGATACTACCTTTGACTTTTCCTGCACCTCGATGTAATAATGCTAATAAAGATACACGAAGGGGTCACGGGGAGAAAAGATGGAAAATGTTCATTTTAACTAATTTGGAGCGTAGCATTTTTTCGTATGCTCCTTTCGTGCGTGCTCTTTACCGACGGTTATTTCGCGTTAATTTGAATTAAAATTTCCTGAGGTTTACAACGGGAATTCAGGTGTAAAGATAATTTTCGTTTTTCTTTTTTTTTGCAATTTAATGCACTGTATATTACTTATAATCGTAAGCAAAAGTCGAAAACGATGCGAAATAAAGCGATTAAATTGTTTTATCTCGTTACGATAGCAGTGAGAAAATATGGAGTTGCGACACTATATAATTGAGAAATAAATTTTCGTCTTGTAAGAGATGTTAAAGCTTGACCACGTCGTCCCTTTAAACGTGCACCTTTCGTAGAATAATTTTTACTAGCCAATAACATCAACAAACCGGCAAATTGCTGGAGATCGTAGACTCAATTTCTACGATTTTACATCGCACGGAATAACCAAATCGTCGATAATTTACAAAAATTAATTAATTCAGTCTTTGTCGTTCTTCGGATACCCAGTGTACTGTATTTTGTATTATATTATAATATCATTTTGATATTATATTTTCGCATTATATTGAAAACTCCAGGTTTGCTCGTTCCGTGCCAAGTTCGAGATCGAGTCAGCAAACGTCTAAGCTTAAGGCGATTCGAATCGACTGAAATAAATTAACAAAATAATCAAAGTATCTTTTCTCGTCCTTTCCAACACCTGTTATATCGAATTTTCATATTACACTGAGAATTCATGGTTTGATTATTCCGTGCAAAGTTCAAGATTGGATTCTACGACGTCACAGCTTATGGCGATTCGATAATCCTATGTTATTATACATAGAAGAGTTCGTATAACAGAAAATTTCGCATGTGTCTGTCGAATAAATCTCAACCTCTGCAGAGTTAAACGCGCGGAATCGAGCAAACGCTGAATGATCAGCGATATCCTTAATTTGCTCGAATCGCATTAGTACCGTGAGCCGGTAACAAGATTTTAACCATCGGGAAAAACGGAAAACTCTGTTTCCTCCTTGGAAATTGGCGATTAACGTTGTTCAGCATTGTGGCTTCTAATCCAACGTAGCTAAATCCCTGAACAAAGTCAACGTTTAGAATGCTTCGTCCGTATCGAAGCTCCATTCAACTACGACATAGCGATCTGTAGTTTTCTTACATTTAGCCTAATTATTTCTTCTTCGATCGATTTTTACTCGAATAATTTTCTTTTTAACCTACGATCCTCGAATTTTTACGTTGCAACGTCGTTCTCGTTTTAACGAGCGAAAAGGAAGGGTAACGGTCAGGATGCAAAAGAAATTTGTTCGAGCAATATTAATATTCTCAGACATATTAATACGAAAGAAATTTCTTCGAAACAATTTCTGTATTGTGTTTCTCCATGTCGTATTGGCAAAAATATAAATTGGCGCAGTCACGCGCAATAATCTAGCGACAACGACGCGGACTAATGTCTTACTGCAAAATGTACTATCTGCGCGAAGGATCGAAATATTTTCCACTGGAATGCAGAATAACTGCAATATTCTACACTCCGCAGTTACTGTGTATGCACGGTGAACTGAAAATTAAAGCATTGCTCGATATAACCGCGGCTGAGTTCCCCCCTCGCTGAATATAAGAACAGTGTTAATTAGCTTGGCGAAGTAGGAACGTAACGAGCCACAAGGGAGACGTTCTTTTAGAAAAGAAGAGACCGAAGAAGTTAAAGACAAAGCTCCGGTCTTCCGTAGTTTATTAAGGAACGTCGGTCGAGAGAAAAAACGTTCCGTGCGGGGCTCTTCTATTCGTTCGGAGGACTTTGTTCGACAGACTAGAGTAGCTGCAGGCTGGTTTACAGGCCGCTTGGTTGGATGAAGAAGAGTAACGCGGTTTAACGTGACAGGTGTGTGCTATGTAGCTTGCTTAACCATTAACCAGCCTCGTCTTTTCTCGCGTAGACACGATCGGCCTCTTGAAGCTCGCCCCAGGCTCCTCCACGAGTGTTTGCAGACGGTTGCTCCTCGACCAGCTTAAATTGCGCCGGTAGAATCATGCACCGTGGC